ACGGGGTTTCACCATGTTGACCAGGATGGTCTCGATCTCTTGACCTCGTGATCCACCCGCCTCGGCCTCCCAAAGTGCTGGGATTACAGGCGTCTTTTCTTTTTTTTTTTAAAGATGAGGTTTCAGCAGGATGGCCAGGCTGGTCTTGAACTCCTGACCTCAGGCGATCCACCCACCTCGGCCTCCCAAAGTGCTAGGATTACAGGCGTGAGCCACCGCCCCCAGCCAGAATTCTGTCATTTCTTAAAGTTGACTAGGAGAGAAATCAGGGTGTACTCATCTGCTGTAATACCAGGAGTCTCATGCAGCAGTTTTTACGTGTCATGTATTTATACTTATTGTGTCTGGTTTGTAAATACACATTTATCAGGCTAATATATAAATATATATTTATCTGGTTTATATATGAATTTTGTCTGGTTTATAAGTACATATTCTGGTTTGCAAATACATATTTATCTGGTAAATATCTGGTTTATAGATACGTATTTGGTTTATAAATACACATATGGCAAATACATGTAGATATTAAAATAAAAGCCAACATGAATTGGCCGTGTTGCAGGCATTACAATAAATGCTAATTTCTTTTTTTTGAGATGGTGTTTTGCCCTTGTTGCCCAGGCTGGAGTGCAATGGCGTGATCTCAGCTCACTGCAACCTCTGCCTCCCAGGTTCCAGCGATTATACTACCTCTGCCTCCTGAGTAGCTGGAATTACAGACACGCACCACCACACTTGGCTAATTTTTCGTATTTTTAGTAGAGATGGGGTTTCGCCTTGTTGGCCAGGCTGGTCTCAAACTCCTGACTTCATGTGATCCGCCTGCCTCAGCCTCCTGAAGTGCTGGGATTACAGGTGTAAGCCACTGTGCACGGCCTTAAATGCTAATTTCTCAATCACCATGACTGTATTTTTAATTTTATGAAGAGTCTGGACCACACAGCCATTGGGTTATTTGCCCAATCTTGCAAAAGCAACAAGGAGAAGAGCAAAATGTCAAATCCAGTTTTCTGTAATTCTGGAGCCTGAGTTTTTTTTGACAGTGCTTAACATTGTCTCCTTTATTTAAAAAATCTTAGTTTTGAAAAGGAAATGGGTTCTTTCCTTGGGTAACGATTTTGCTTGGAGCATTAACTCAGATATGTGCCTATCTGTTTTATGTGAGGCATTAATCTTGGAACACAAAGAGGTACAAGCATAGTTTGTCCCTGTTCTCAGGGGCTCAGTTTAACATGGGATTCATCTGACTCATTTTCCTTCTGTGCTTCGTGTTACGTACTAGTGGACAGACTAGGAAGAAACAGGAAAATTCTCAAGAGCTTGAGCCTCTGTGCTTGTCTGGTGTCTGGAGATACCATCGAGAAATAATTTATGAGCAGGAGTAACCAGAATTCCAGAAACAGTGTTGTGAGGCCAAGTATTCAGGGCAGGAAGAATCGTACAAGAGGTGTCTGGCTTTGTGCTGGGATCTCGTTGCATGACTGTATTTTTTTAATCTTTTGCAGGCTTACTTTTATGTCTAACTTTGGACATGATTCAGAATTATTTAGGGCTGTTCTTCACAACCCTCACCTGAAAAGTCTGAGCCTGTATGGCACTGGCCTCTGCCGCACCGACGTCAAGTACCTGTGTGAGGCGCTGAGGCACCCGATGTGCAAGATCGAAGAGCTCATGTGAGTCTGGGCTGTTGGTGCCAAATGGTGTTTTCCCCAAGGTGGGCTTTGCAGTTTGAATGTTCTCGTTTTCCTTCTGGAGGGTCACTGCATCAGTCCTCACCTCTCTTGTTTTTCATCTTTTGGATCTCGGTCTGTCTGGTAAGGTGAAGGAAGATTCCAGTGGGCAAGGCCTGCTCTCAGAAGGTTTGTTTTCACCTTTCCGTCTCACTTTAATTACTTTTTTTTTTTTTTTTGAGACAGGGTCTCACTCTGTTGTCCTGACTGGAGTGCAGTGACACAATCTTGGCTCACTGCAACCTCAGCCTCCTGGGCTCAAGCAATCCTTCCACCTCAGCCTCCTGGGTGGCTAGGATTACAGGTGCACGCCACCACACACAGCTAATTTTTATATTTTCTGTAGAGATGGGGTTTCACCCTATTGCCCAGGCTGATCTCGAACTCCTGGTCTCAAGTGATCTGCCCGCCCTGACCTCCTAAAGTACTGGGATTACAGTACTCCACATGGGCCGCTGCACCCAGCCTCATCTCATGGACACCTCACTTGATACTTCTTGGTTCTACTGTCAACAAACCAGGATAAAACAACACCATTTTTTTCCCTAAAGATATTTATAGAAACTTAAAAGTGAAGCATGTTAATGATCACAAGTGTGATTGTCTTAATTCGGCAGTTGACAGCATTAAAGCCAAGGAAAACGTGACTTGCCCAAAGTAACGTTTCTCTTGAAAATTTTCTGGGCTGCCCCTATCTAATTGGGTGATTTTTAGGAGAGCCTGTGTATCTTTCAAAAGAGAACAAAGGGAAGTCATTGGGGCAGCAATAAACAAAGTCAGCTCATGAAACCCGCCAAGAGAATAATACGGTCTTCTCTCTCCCAGTTCACTGTCTTTTTGTTGCAGTAACCATCAAAATGTAATTGACAGATTCACATATACTCTGTTAATTTTATGCATCCAGATTTATCGGGAGAAAGAGGCAGGTTCTGTGCATAAGGGTTGTTTGTAGAACTGCTGTGGATATCATTCCTCATTGAAGCTGTTTCCGTATCATGGCAACTTTAAAAAAAAAAAAAAATTATACTTTAAGTTCTGGGGTACATGTGCAGAACGTGCAGGTTTGTTACATAGGTATACATGTGCTATAGCAGTTTGCTGCATCCATCCCCCCGCCCCACCCTATCATCTACATTAGGTATTTCTCCTAATGCTATCCCTCCCCTATCCCCCGTCCCCCTGCTCTCCCTCCTCTAGTCCCATAGGCCCCAACAGGCCCCGGTGTGTGATGTTCCCCACCCTGTGTCCATGTGTTCTCATTGTTCAACACCCATTTGAGTGAGAACATGCGGTGTTTAGTTTTCTGTTCCTGTGTCAGTTTGCTGAGACTGATGGTTTCTAGCTTTATCCATGTCCCTGCAAAGGACATGATCTTGTTCCTTTTTTTATGGCTGCATAATATTCCATGGTGCATGTGTGCTACATTTTCTTTATCCAGTCTATCATTGATGGGCATTTGGGTTGGTTCTAAGTCTTTGCTATTGTGAACAGTGCATGACAACCTTTTTTTTTTTCAACTTCTACTCTTTCTCTTCTTGGGAAACTTTGAAAATTCCATAGTATTTTGCTGTTTCATAATTACATTATTTGTATAGGGTTTCATCTATTAAATATTAACATAATGATTGGGGAACATAATGTAGGTAGAAATGTTGCCTTTTGGGGCAGACTAACCATTCTTCATTTACTTCAGTGTGGTGGTGGTGGTGGGAGGTAGAGGAGGTCTTCAAATCAGGTTCTCTCTAGCTAAGTAGTTGTCAATGGGGAGAGTTTTGTCTCTTAGGGGATGTCAATGTTGAGAGGCACGTTCAGTGATCACAACTGAGTTGGGGGGTGCTGCTGGCATCTGGTGGATAGAGACCAAGCCCATTAATCTGTTTTCACGCTGCTGGAAAAACATACCTGAGATTGGGCAATTTACGAAAGGAAGGGATTTATTGGATTTACCATAGTTCCATATGGCTGGGGCGGCCTCACAATCATGGTGGAAGGTGAAAGGCACATCTCACGTGGTGGCAAACAAGAGAAAAGAGCGTGTGCAGGGAAATTCCCCTTTATAAAACCATCAGATCTTGTGAGACTTAACGGTCACGAGAACAGCATGGGAAAGACCTGCCCCCATGATTTAATTATCTCCCACTGGGTCCCTCCCATAACACGTGGGAATTATGGGAGCTACGTGATGAGATTTGGGTGGGGACACAGAGCCAAACCACATCACCAAGGTTGCTGCTAAATACCCAGTAATGTACAGGACAGCTCCCCAACAATGAAGGATTATCTAGTCCAAATGTCAGCAGTGCTAGTCTGTGAAGTGTCCTAGGATAGATGAGAGTGATGCTTCTCTTCTGGTGGTGGGAGTGGTCAGCTTGGCTAAAACAGAATGAGATATTTGCTTAAATCTAATGCAGGGCTCTTGTACTAGGAAAAAAGCCATTCTATAGTATGCAGAGGCCCTGGACAAACATTTTTATGGATACTGCCACCTTAATTCATGTGTGTCTGGAAACCTTTATGACAAACACCTGTTTTTCCACATCAGCCATTTTACTTTGTCGCTGTTTACTTTTTATTGAAAGATTATTATATTCACAGGAAATCAGTATAGAGAAGTCCCACGTACCAATCATCACCCAGCTTCCACCAAAGGTAGCACCTTACATAATACCAGTGCATTCTTACAACGAGGAAATTTTACTAATGAAATGTACAAAGCTGTTTTAATTTTTAAATTAAAAACTTTTTTTAAGATGGAGTTTCACTCTTGTTGCCTAGGCTGGAGTGCAGTGGCGCCATCTCGGCTCACCATAACCTCTACCTCCCAGGTTCAAGTGATTCTCCTGCCTTAGTCTCCCAAGTAGCTGGAATTACGGGCATGTACCACCATGCCTGGCTAATTTTTTGTATTTTTAGTAGAGACAGGATTTCTCCATGTTGGCTAGGCTGGTCTCAAACTCCTGACCTCAGGTGATCCACCAGAGTCAGCCTCCCAAAGTGCCGGGATTACAGGTGTGAGCCACTGCGCCCAGCCCAAAGCTGCTTTTAAAAAATAACTTTTTATAAAACTTGCAGTGAAACTAGACTTAATCAGTATCTTTTAACCAGAGGCTTCCCTGGATTATACTCCCATGAAATGAACGTGTTCCACTTGTCCCACCTTCTCACCAACATTTGATGGCGTTGATCTTTTCAAATCCATTCTGCTTAGGGCATAATGTGTGAGTGGATTTAATTTGCATTTCTCTGATGACTAAGAATTTGAGTGCCTTTTGATATGTTTGACTTTCTGGGCTTCCTGTTGTGATATGTCTGTCTGATGTGCTGGTGTAGCCCATTGTTTTAATGGGTTGTCTTTTTCTAATTGATTGATGGGTGTTCTTTCTATTTTGGGGAATGAATCCTAGGTCAAATACATATGCATTGCAAATATCTTCTATGTGGTTTGGTTTTCCACATTCTTAACATCATCTTTGATAAGAGAGATTCCTTATCAAAACTAAATTGATCTTTTCATGTTCAGCTGTCTTTTCCATGTGTTTAGGGAATTGTTGCCTCTTAGAGGCTTATGCTTGTGATCCCAGCACTTTGGGAGGCTGAGGCAGGAGGATCACTTGAGGCCAGGAGTTGGAGACCAGCCTGGGCAACACAGTGAGACCCCCATCTCTTAAAAAAGAAATTCACTAGGTATGGTGGTGTATAGCTGTAGTCTCAGCTACTCGGTAGGCTGACACAGGAGGATCTCTTGAGCCCAAAAGTCCAAGGTTGCTGCAGGGAGCTGTCACCACGTCACTGCACTCCAACCTGAGTGACAGGGTAAGACCCAGTTTCAAAAGAAAAAAATAATTGTTTCCAGGCCCAAAGTCATACATAACTTCCTATGCATTTTTCCCTAAAAGTCTTATTTTACCATGCAAAATTGGGGCTATAATCTACTTTGAATTAATGTTTCTGTGCAGTATAAAGTCAGATTTAAGAAAAATTTTCACACATGAACACAGAATGCTGTTGAAAGATGACTTTTTCTGAAGTGAACAACCAACAGTAGTTACTTTTATAAACCAGATGACCATGGTGTATTCCAGGTGACCATGGTGTATTTATGAGCCACAAATGCCTCTTTTGATTTTAATTTTGAAGATTCTTCCCCTAAACATCAGGGAATTGTAGGTTTTCAATGTTTTGTTCCTTTTTTTTTTTTTTTCCCCACCCAGGCTGGAGTGCAGTGGCACGATCTCAGCTCACTGCAACCTCTGCCAACTGGGTTCAAGTGATTCTCCTGCCTCAGCCTCCCAAGTACCTGGGACTACAGGCATATGCCATTCTGGCTTCCATGCTCTTTCTAAGTGTAGCCATCAGTATTTCACCAGGGTAGGCAGCATGTCTCTGGCTAATTTTAAGGCTTTTTCTTTCCCTCTAATTTTGTGCGGTTTTGGTATTTCTTTGTATTTAAACTGCTTAAAAATTCACTGAGCTTCCTACATTTGTGGATGAATGTTTGCACAGGCTTCTGAGGACACTTTACCATGATCTCTATCTTTAAATATTGCTTCTGTTCCATCTTATCTCTAATTTCCTCTTGGTCTGGGACGAGAGATCCCCATCATACTTTCAAGAGGCTTGAAGAATGAGGAGATTTCTATGGGGTACATAAGATAATTTGATAGAGGCATGCAATAAGTAATAAAAAGTTAAAAGACTGAGGAACTTTCTAAAAATTATCATAATGGACAGCAAACAATCCATGCAAAAAACTTGCAATATGCATTGCCCTTTGGGTAGGATGGAGAGAGAGATCTGAAGGCAGCTGTGGGCCGGGTGTGGTGGCTGGTGCCTGTAATCCCAGCACTTTGGGAGGCTGAGGTGCGCAGATCTCTTGAAGTCAGGAGTTTGAGACCAGCCTGGCTAACATGGTGAAACCCTGTCTTTACTAAAAATAAAAAATAGGCTGGGCGCGGTGGCTCAAGCCTGTAATCCCAGCACTTTGGGAGGCCGAGGCGGGTGGATCACGAGGTCAAGAGATCGAGACCATCCTGGTCAACATGGTG